ATTAATTAATTTAAGTACTTACATTATGCTGTACTGTACTAATCAAGACTAATGCAAATTATATCCAATAAATGTGTGTTGCATGTTACACACCCGTATCGCTGTATTTTAAAAATGTAATATGTACTGTCCACGTCCTCTATCCTCCGTCCTCTCTGTTTTGTATCAACTTCATCTGTTCGTAATAACGCTCTTTCCTCCTGTTAACTTTACCTACTTTACTTTTCATTTGTTTTTGTTGGTTAGTCTTTCATCCTTGAGAATCTTATCGAATAAGTAAAGCAGGAATTTCATGGTTTGGCTGCTGGCTTTTGGCCTGAAAATTCTGAATTCAAGATTTTATTTTTGAACCGTGCTGAACCTACTGAGACCTGCTCGTGTTTGGTGGCAGTGAGAAGTTGAACAACCTCACACTCTCTTGGTGCTTCATCTATTTCATTCAGTTTTATCCCGCTGTCTGTTGTTCTGCAGCTGCTGCAGAAAAAAAAGCTCTCTGTGGTAACAAACAATATTAAAATGGGTTGTGGATACAGGGATTACACAGTGGATGAGGCTCCTCACGTTGGCAGATGGTTGGTTGGATTCGGTTTCACTGTTCCCTTCTCCAGAGACGATGGACTGATAAGAGTACAGCAGGAAACCTTCACGTTAATGAGCTTCTCTGAGCCCGCTCCTTGGGCTGAATGTTGGCGTCCTGTGGATCATCGTTTCTTTACTGCTGCTCGGCGTTTGCGCTCTACATTGACTGGCCTTAAATTGCTCGTGCTCTATGATGGTGCAACAGGTGGTGATGGAGGTCGGTGGCGTTACCTCTAGATGTTGCAACAACCTCACTGCTCTCTAGCCTCTGACGTTCCCTGTACTCCTCTGACTACTGCTCCAGCAGGAACATTAGCATAGCTGGATGTCATCTGATTGGCTAAACGCTGGGCCTGCTTGGCCCATGTGGAGAGGGCTGCTTCCAATTGGCCGAATGTCACTTTCTGAGCGTGAAAGCATGATACAAACTAGGCTTGTGCAAAACTGTATCATGTGTATTTTCCACTTTGCGTTTACTATTACTACAATGACTGCTACGTTATTAGGGTTGCCAACCGTCCCTTGAAAAACTGAATCTCCCTATTTAGTCTCCCGTTGAGCTGGAAATGGGATGCACGTTGTCCCGTTTTACCGTATTTTGCGTTAGTTACTTGAGCACATGATTACAGCATATTCCCCTTTATTCATGCGGTAATGAACAATAATTTCCACTAGGGTGACATTATGTCACTCGGTGACTAAAATGATTCGTCTCCACTAATTGCTTCACATGAAGAGATAAAATTTGACAAAGTCTGTATCTGGCATAGCTGTGACTGGTACATAATAGGACGAACAAATTCCAAATGTCACTGGATGTGTACTTGTTTACTTGTACCTGTCCATGTATACATTGTAACTGCTGCAATAGTGCTTCAGCAAATTGTTCTCAGAGCTTTGTGCTTTAATTCTGTCCCACAGGAAGACACAGGTCAGAATGATTTTAGTCGGGTTTAAGGGGATTATTTGTGCAGGAGTCTGTGGCGTCTGTCTAATCCAAATGATTCAAGTGTATGTCGGGTAGAGGGAAACCACACTTTAATTCTCAGTGATTAGCACATTTAGAGACTTGAACGGAGAACAACATAATGCTGTCTTGACATCCCTACATTTGAGTCTGTGTTTATTTTATTTTATTTTAAATTAATTGGGTGTGAAGCCCAAGAGCATAAAAAGCTTTGTGTTTTATATGATCAAGAAAAACGATGATGACACCCTGTTTTATCAGATAATTCAAAATAGTTTTTTCTCTCAGTTTATGAGTGCAGATGGAGCCATCAGTAATTGGCATGTGTGGCAATTTTTCTTAATGTCTATGGTTGTTCCAGGAGAAAAAATACATTAGTTTGAAGCAATAAGAACAAAGATTCATATGAAACAAGTGCAATCACCTGTTCTGATTGGATATCGACATGTCAGTCACACATGCAGTCTTTCCCACTGTGTGTTAATGAAAAGGTAAAGCAAACTCACTCAAAATCAAAACACTTTCTGAAATTGGAAATTTACACATATCAATAAAATTAGGTGAGAAATGTGTCCATTTCCCGTTAACTTCCCCTCATTATTGATGAGGGGAAACTGACGGATGATTCTGAAATGATCAGGGAGTGCACAAAGTAACTCTTGATTTTGTCAGCTATATTTTGCAGCTTCTTCTTTCACCGTTTCAGTGAATTGTCCGTACGACTGGCTGTGACTTCAGTTGGAAAATTGAAATAAATATATTTGGGTCCCTGGTGCAAATGTCAAACCTGCAGTTTTCGCAGCAACCACTTTACAAAGTGCTCTCAGGCCAAGAGCTGTCTAAAAACAGTTAAACAATAAATGCAATGAAAAACTTACGTCAATATCAGCAGAGAGTTTGAACGATAGAGAGATGAAGCCTGAGGTCATCTGTCAGGGACAAAATGGTGAATCTGTCTGGGCTTTTTCAGAAAGATCAGGAAAAATGTGACTTTTCTTTTAACAACCTGCAGATCAAAGTCATCGCTCAGGTGTTTTAGCCTTTGACACTTTAATAACTTCTGACAAAATATGTGTGGCTCTTCTTCTGAGCATTAAATATCCAGTGGTTTCCAGCTTTGGCCCATTCATATCCCATAATTCACAAAGAATCCTAGAAACAATCTCAGTTTTCACTATTAGTGTTATTAACTGCTTAGCAGGAGATCAGCCTGGTGTAATGTATATGGTTTGTGCTTTTCTGGCAGTGAGAGAGAGTTTTTTGTTTAGGAAAATGAAGGAGTTGTTGACTTTGAAACCTCTTACAGAGTAGATAGAGAAAATGTTTTACTTCCTGATATAAAGAGGTTTTACACACACTATTAGGATTGCTTGAATATGGCCACAATAAAAAATCATAATTAAAATCTAATTTCAATTAATCATGCAGCCCAACACCCAAGTGCAAATTCTTTTTTCATAATATCACGCTGTTATTTGGACACTGTGTATCACCAGCTCCTGTGCCCTCACAGGTTAAAAATGCTGCTCGTCTATGGTGTAACTGAAGTTAGTATTATATTCAACATTTCTCTCAACAGATGACAATAATAACACAGCAGTTCTGCACTAGTTTAGCTATGTTTGATATTTTTATCACTAACCCAAAAACTGGTTTCTTTCACTCAGCCTTGAACTTGAGATTTTCTTTACGACCAAACAGTTTTCTCTTTGACAAAATAGAACAAGTAAAGAACATACTTCTTCACAGGCAGCAGACGAGGGAGGTATTGGAGGTGCAGTCAGGACTGGGCCCACTGGGACCCTCATTAAATATTTACTGCCCCTGGTCTGAAAGCTGTGAAAGCGTGTGACAGGGTCGCTGTGCTTGTCAGAGGAGGTCACTCTGAGAATAAAGTGGAGACTGATCCCCAACTCTCTTCTCCAGCTATCAAAGAGTGGATGTAAAAGTCTTGATGTCCACTGTATCAACTGTAAATTGCATTTCATGATATGGATTCCTTCTATTTCCGGACGGGAAATTCTGCAGTACGTAGTAAAATAATGTGTTTAAACCAGGACATTAGAGAGAGCCTGGTTTGACTGATGTCAGACATGTTGTTAAACTCAACTGGATCATTCGATCAGTCAACCATTTGCAACAGAAAAGAACTTTTCTTATTTTCTGAAAATGTTTTTATTTTTAACCCTGTCCAGTAGGTGGGTCACCATGGTCATGGGTTTGCCCGGGTTAATAAATTCTGATTCCCTATCAACATTGGAACCCAAATAACAAACTAGTGATTAGATCAACCAAAGGTATTACTGTGTAAAATGGTTGAACTACTTTTAAGGTACTTGAATAACTGGTGCACTGGAAAAACACCAACTGAACAATATCCCATTATTAGAAATAATAGTAAAATGTTTTTAGAATGTTCTTCACTGAGGTGTCGGTGCCTCCGTTGTAGATGTTACAGTCTGTTTGACTGAATCAACTACATTTACAAGCTTGCATACATTGAGAAACCCATATAAATATAGACCGTGAGTCTCAGCTGTGATACTGACACTGGATCAGATTATGCAATTAAAGTATGAGTTTGGTTTGCATACAATCGTGTTCAAATCGTGAGGGCTTTATGTCTTTATCATGTTACAGTTGCTTTGCTAGGATAGTAATGTAAACACTGAAAGACTGACACATCTCTGACAGTGGTTGGATTGGTTTTGTCAACACCTTTATTCATACATATATATCCATCTTCAGACCGGTCTGGACAGTGTTGTCTTATATTTGATGTTTACTAAATGGTATTTATTAAAAAGCTCACATTGACCTTTAAGTAAATGAAACATGATGGAGATCAAACTACTGACGATTAGAGAAGAAGTGTAGGTTTGGAACATCAGTGTTATTTCTTTTACTAAACTCAAATTTACAACCCAAATTTGCAACCCTATTATTTTGATGTGCAACAGCTGTCGTAACAAAATTTGCAATTATGTGAGAGACCATGAGGAGGCACATGGGTTTAAGGAAATACTCTTGTTGTCAGTACAGTTTCACTCTGTAATGCTCAGCGTGTGCAGGGTTTGTGTGCTGCAGTTTGGAGAGAGGCAGAGAACGATGGGATGCTTTATACAAAGGTGTCTGACCATTCTTTCAGACAAACGAAGCAGTCCCCTCGTTGCTTGGTATTGGCCCCACAGGTTTCCTTCATCCAGTCGTTGAACAGCTCTTCATCTTTCTTTAGGACCAGAAACTGACCCAGGACCACATATGCCTTGTCAAAGCCTTTGTCCTCCAGTCTTTTGCCCAGAACGTCTCCGATGCCTGCCAGAGCCATCACAGGTTTCTCACCCATTGGCTCAGCCACAAAGTTTCTGTGTTTTTGGGATGTTGAGGACATGACGGTTCTGAAGGCAGCCACAAACCAAAAAACAAGTTTTTAGTCTAATATTCCCGATGAGATTGATAAAATAGTTAAAGAATAAACTGTGTCAATGTCAGGGAAATAACTTTACTACTGGTAATGTTAGAATAATGGCTCAAGTCCATGTCGAAATTAGGCTTGTGATGTTAACAGCTTTGCTTGATGATATATTGTACCACAAATTATTGCTGATGAACCATAATATTGTCAACATTATTTCGAGACCAAATGTACTATTAATGTAATGATAATATATCATCATAACGCGAGTGCACCCTTTCAGATGCAGTACATTTTATTTGTCATTAATGTATTTTATGATTCTCATATATATATTTTTGGGCTGTCATGAGTTGGGGAACTACTCTTTCTGTGACCACGCACCATTTTGTGCTCTTCCACTTTTATTTAATTTGTCAGTCAAACAAAGTTGTTTTTCCCCAGATGGGAAAACTGTCTTGGTAATTCTGTTTTAGGTGGACATGCAAGTTTGTTGTGTTGCTTTTTTTTTTGTGGCCCCCACTTTCGATCATATTCGGCATACTGACTTGTCTGTGTTGCTCTGTGTGCATTCTAGCGACCTCACCTCCCACCACAAAGAGTGGATGACTGACAAGATGGTTTACTGTGCTTATTCTGCTACGGACACAGAGTGAACTCCTCTTGTCATCCATCAGTTTGGAGGTAAGATAAAAAAAAACACGCATGCACATGACAGTAAACCAATGACAGGAAAATGATCGATTTTCATTTATCGTGCGAATAACACATTTGTTGATCGTCCCAGGGTCATTTGAAATGACTACTTATTACTTTAAAGGGTGTATAGAAAATTCTTACACAACATTTCTTGCAAAATAATTCCCTTCACATAGCTCTTTTTTTTAACTGCTGACACCTTCTATAAAAAGAATATGCAGTACTTACTGTGATCACAGATCTCGCACTAAACTGTCGCTGTTAAACCGTTGTTTTTGCTGCTGTGCACTTAATCTAAAAGTAGCATTAGCCTAGCCTTCGGGTCTTGAAGTCTTGAAATCACCAACCACACATAACGTGGATGATCTGTTTAAAAGTTGTTTGTTTTTTGATTGTTTGTTTCCTTGGTAGTAAACGCCTGGAAATGTCATCAAACCAGGGTTTCTAAGCCTTTTGAGTCTTTGAAGTCTTTCAAGTGCAAGTGTGACTTAACAAATGTTAACTTTTAACTTCCTGGTTGTATAAGCCCGAGAGATGGCAGCTGTGCAAGGAATGTCAAAGACGACATTTCTTAACTCTGATCAAAGGTGGCTGAAGTGTCTTTCTGTTCTGGCAAGTCTATTTGAGTTAGTGTTTGGGCAGCACATGGCTGTGCGGTTTTGGACTGGGAATGGGATCAGAAGATTACTTGTTTGAGTCCTGGTCCAGACAGGCATAGATCTTCCTACTGATTCCAACTGTTTGGTCTCCGGGAGGTCAAATCCATCCCAAAAAATGAATCCATCTTTAATTTCTTTTGCATTGTGGGGGGGGGGATTTATCTTGAGTTTGCATTTTTATTTTCAGGATGAAGCGGTTTGGTGATTTGCACTGAAAATCCCATATTGCCAACTTTGCAAGGGCTTGAACACTTGAATCATTTGCTACTGTTTTCTGGCTGTTTGTTAAACAAAGGGGGCTGAAGTGGTTTTCACTCTGACCTCATCGCAGACTGTCTGAGGGACTATAGAAAGTGGAATAAGTGAAAGGTGATTGATTAAAAGAAGGACACCAGATTCAAATCAATCTCTGTATTGCAATGCTTCAACAGAATTTTATTGTTCTAACTCTGTTGCCCACCCCGGCTACAGTAGAGAATTGATTTATCGACCAGTGCTTGTGCACTGGTGGCAGATTCTGAGCATTAAAAAGGGAAATATTCAAGCATTTTCTTTTGTGACTTGGGGAGTTAGATGCACTCAGAAAACCATTAGTCAGAAGCCAGGGGTTTGAAATCCAAGCCAGCACTTTATGACAGCTCTTATTAAGGCAGCTTAGTGTGAGAAATATTATTTACCACCCTCAGCATGTCGCCTCACACGCTGCTGTGTCTGTGGATATGCCTTCGGAGCCATTGTGTCTCTTAACTGTCAACACGACAGGGATGGGAATAAAATGTGATTTTCTACCCTTAACAAAAGACTCACCTTGTGAAGCCAATTACTTTCCTGCAAGAGCCGAGTATTATCAGGCCCTGTTCACAAATGAGCACTCCTTACATATCAGAGAAATGGTGCTCAAAAATAAACATGAAGATCTGATATGGATTTACAGCAGCACAAAAATGACCTGTTTGTTTAAGTTCTAAACATGGATTTGTTAATCCATGTTGATTATTACTTTGAGAAAATGTTTTTCTGTACTAACATACACCGCAACTTCAGATCAACTTTTAATCTAATCATCATTATTATTATTCAGATCAACTTTTAATCTAATCATCAGATATTCACTCCAAACTAACCATAGAATGTGAGTGTGAATGGTTGTTTCTCCCAGTGTTACCCTGTGATGGACAGAACAGAATGACCCCGACAGGTTACCAGTTTGCAGAGACTTGAGGAATGTTGCATAAATCTACTTCTCATAAACCGGCAGTTATAACTTTTATGATGTGTTTTGAGAGATAGAGAGATAGATGGATAGATAGATAGTTTAATAGATAGTTTTATAGTAGAAATAATAGAAATATAATCTCACTATAATTTCTTAACCTCTAAGACTCTAATCTTCCCTAAGTAAGAGGGTAATTTAACATTCAAGATTTAGTGTGGAGTTGGGATAAGAGTCAGATTACAGTTAAGGTAATCATCAAGATTAGGAATATATTTGTAACAGTAGGATTTCATCATTATGTCCATGTTAAGCGCACAGAGAACACAGTGTGTGTGTTTGACTGGATATATCCAGGTTTTAAAAAACCTGTCATCATAAGTGCTGCAACTTTTATTTTATTCCAGTACAGCAATGGTTTGAAGAAGGAAAAAAAATCAATACTAAGTGTTGAACTTTTGTGTTGAACCTTCGGATGAGTCTCAAAGAATTATGACCCTCACAACAGAAACTGCGTAAGAGACGAGGTGGATGTGCAAAAGGAAAGGTTACATATGTGTCAGCAGCAGCTTTTAGCCTCTGTCTGTACCGCATACACGTCCACACAGTTACGCGCACGGTGACACAAGCACCTCGCTGTGGTTCTATATAAGGTGATTCACCACATCCTGTAGATGTCTTTATAGATCAAGGTCACATGACCTCAGGAGATAAGATGTGGTTGCAGTCTTGTAATAAACCCCGAATGTCTAATGTACTTGGTGTCATAGAAGCAGCATTAGAGTCTGCTCACCACAGTGACATCTGGTTCAGAATAACAGAAATGGCTCTGATCATCATCCAGATAAAGAAATGATGGCTGATAACGCAGCCCTGCATTATCCTTCTCACAGCTTGTTGAAATTCAGAGATATCTTTTTTGTAAAAACACTGCCTCTGAGACTTAATATCCAGTCTCTTTGTCAATGTCATGTCAATGCAATTCTTAAATCCAGAAGATTTGGCTGAAGTAAATAAGAACATTAATGACTGTGAACGGATTTTTGTTACAACCGAGAATACTTTTTTCTTCTCCCCTTTTTCATCCTTTCTCATCTGTGTGTGGTGCTAGATCCTGTCATTTGTGAGAATGCAATGTAATCTGTTAAGAGCATCTTTGCTGAAGGGAACTGAGGCTTGTTGTTGTAGCAAAGGTCTAAAGATATAGAAAAAAAATAGTATAGAAAATAAGGTGATTTGCTAGATCCTATTGTGTCAAGGAAAATGATCCATATATTAAATAAAAAGTGCAACACAGTTAATTATAATGTCTTATATGAAAGCCTTCCCCTCTGATTCATGTTCAAACATGAAAGTCCTATATCAGGGGTACTATAAGAAAATCATGAGCAATTAAAATAAAAACAATCCCAATAAGTAAATCATGAGCAATTAAAATAAAAACAAATAAAAAATATAAATACAATTCTATAGTGTGTAACAGTGACCAGATACTGTAAGAATTGAATCAGTACCACAACATATAGTATTTACGTATATAAAGTGTCCACCTTATATGGGTGAAGATATATTTAATGTTTTTATTATAGGAAGATAATAAAAAAAAGTTTTTCCTTAAAAATTGCTAACATAAGGTAGCAAGGCTGCTTATTTTAAATTAAATTTTAATTTGTGAAAACTCGATTTGTCGTCCATCCATACTCAGCCCTCATCAGACTGAGGTCACATGACCTCATGAGATAAGATGTGGTTGCGATCTTATAATAATCCCGACAACATTTGTCAAGCTTATAATAACTTTTCAACAGATTTGACATTTTCCAGTCACAAAAACATTGTCCACATGAAGTATGAGCTCCTCTGTGGTTCACTGCAGTGTTTTGCTTCAAATGTTGTGTTTACATCATTAAAGGCGATCTCACTGTGCCAAGGCAGATCAGCACAATATTGGCTCTGCTGAAGGGAGAGCCAGAAACATTTGTGATTTCCAAATCCCCCTGAAGAAGGGAGCAGCCAGAAACATTTGTGATTTCCAAATCGGATTTGTGCAAACAGTCGTCCCTCCTTGAACTTCTGCTCTATTCACTGCTTCTTTATGGCGGCTGTGTAGGTGTCAGTCAGACTCGGCTGTTCCTGCCAAATATCTATATGTGCTCATTTAAAAAAAGCTTTGACTTATGCCTCGTGACACGTTGATTGTGTTTACATGGTCTGCTTCTACAACTGAAATCTTTAAGGACTTTCTCACATACCTTCAACCTGTTGAAGGTAAAATATGTCCAAAAAAGTTTCAAACAATCTGATGTTTGACCTTAAGGCCATTAAACAAAGGACCAGGGAACCAGTTGTTAAAGCGAGGAGGAGTCAAGAGGTTAAGCTCATTAGGAAGCAGTTTGAGTTTCTTGCCATGAAAATAGAAACAAGGAGGAATTGTTTGTGCTGAGAATGTTGGTGGAGGAGATCAGAGGGGGTCAGGAGCAGCATTGTTGAGGCCAGGAACGTATATATTGGGAAACCTAATTGTGGTGCTAAATGGGAGTCCTCATGGCACTACATGAAGAATTAGGTCCATGAACCTTTCTATGGTAATAGCAAGGTGGACAGACGAAGTCAGACAGCTGCGTGGTCCATGTTGTATGAAGGTGAAAACAACAACAAAAAGAACCTCAAGGGTCCAAGAACTCATGTTTGGTCTGGACACAGTGGCTCTGCGGCCGGGCTGCAGAAGGAGGTGAGGAGATGCTGAGATGGACAAGAGGAAAACGGACCAAAGATTTATGAAGGAGGACAAGGAGATAGGCTGCACTGAAGACCCCTGAAGGCAGCAGTATAACTGTAGAGGCCACTGATGGTAGTCATATGGCGGTTGGTAAAGTTAACTTTGACAACAAGGCACTTTAACTTAAGAGGTCTTTGAGAGACAAGGTTTAGTCTTAGACAGTAGACAGCAGGTATTGTCATGAATGCCAATATGCTCTCCTCATACTGCTCGTTGCTGTGGTGGAGACATTCGACATGATTTAACAGTATATTTTTTTTTCTGTCATGGTGCCACGTGTGCAGCCACTCACAATTTTCATCTTCCATGTACAGCAGGATAGAGGCTGTTCATC